CTTCCCCTGTTTAAGTTTTAACCCGTTACCCCTTGTCCTATCACTACAGTCCTAATGAAGAGTCCCTCCCCAGCATCCCTATAGGCCCCCTTCAGATACTGGAAGGCTGCTATGAGGTCTCCACGCAGCCTTCTCTTCTCCAGCTGAACAGCCCCAACTTCCCCAGCCTGTCTTCATATGGGAGGCGCTCCAGTCCCCTGATCATCCTGGTGGCATTCTCTGGACTTGTTCCAACAGTTCCATGTCCTTTTTTATGCTGAGGACACCAGAACTGCACACAATGCTCCAGGTGAGGTCTCACAAGAGCAGAGTAGAGGGACAGGATCACATCCTTCGACCTGCTGGTCACAATCCTTTTGATGCAGCCCAGGATATGGTTGGCTTTCTGGGCTGCAAGCGCACACTGCTGGCTCATGCTCATTTTCACTTTCCTATAGGTATGCAGGCTGTCAGACTGTGTTTGAAGTACATCAACTAATTACCTAAAGAAAGAAATTTGGCTGCAAAAAGGTTCTTGACTGCAGTATGGAAGTGTCAGTAAATCTAAAAAGGCTTAAGCTGCGCTAACGGAACACATTTAGCACAGTGTGTCTTCTGTGAAGAAGGGAAAGCTCTGTTTGCCTTTCTGCTTCAGGATACAATGTCTGCTTCTCATTTTTTTTTATTTCAAACATATGGCCGCATGCAAAGAGTTGTGGTCAATGGCTCAATGTCCGGCTGGAGACCAGTAACGAGTGGCGTCCCTCAGGGATCGGGGTTGGGACCGGTCTTGTTCAACATCTTTGTCGCTGACATGGACAGTGGGATTGAGTGCACCCTCAGCAAGTTTGCCGATGACACCAAGCTGTGTGGTTTGGTTGATACCCTGGAGGGAAGGAATGCCATCCAGAGGGACCTTGACACACTTCTGAGGTGGGCTGATGCCAACCTCATGAAGTTTAACCGTGCCAAGTGCAAGGTCCTACACCTGAGTCGGAGCAATCCCAGGCACAGCTACAGGTTGGGCAGAGAAGAGATTCAGAGCAGCCCTGCGGAGAAGGACTTGGGGGTGTTGGTTGATGAGAAAATGAACACGAGCCGGCTTCAGTGTGCGCTTGCAGACCAGAAAGCCAACCGTATCCTGGGCTGCATCAAAAGGAGTGTGACCAGCAGGTTGAAGAAGGTGATCCTGCCCTCTACTCTGCTTTCGTGAGACCTCACCTGGAGTATTGTGTGCAGTTCTGGTGTCCTCAACATGAAAAGGACATGGAACTGTTGGAACAAGTCCAGAGGAGGCCACAAGGATAATCAGGGGCCTGGAGCACCTCCCATATGAAGACAGGCTGGGGAAGTTGGGACTGTTCAGCCTGGAGAAAAGAAGGCTGCTTAGAGACCTCATAGCAGCCTTCCGGTATCTGAAGGGGGCCTATAGAGATTCTGGGGAGGGACTCTTCATTAGAGACTGTAGTGACAGGACAAGGGGTAACAGGTTAAACCTTAAACAGGGGAAGTTTAGGTTGGATATAAGAAGGAAATTCTTTCCTGTTAGGGTGGTGAGGCACTGGAATAGGTTGTCCAGGGAGGTTGTGAATGCTCCATCCCTGGCAGTGTTCAAGGCCAGGTTGGACAGGGCCCTGGGTGATATGATTTAGCATAAGGTGTCCCTGCCCACAGCAGGGGGGTTGGAACTGGATGATCTTAAGGTCCTTTCCAACCCTAACGATTCTATGATTCTATGATTCTATACCCACCCTCTGGATAAGAACAAACTTTCATTTTTATCAACATGAAAAAAGTGTTTGTTCACTACTGTGCAGAAGAGGGTTGCCTGTCTAGTTACCTGCACAGCAGCATGAAACATACAGATGCCAAAAGGTAACAATTATGCTTTTCTTTTTTTCTTTAGGAGCGTGAAGAAAAATTTCGGAAGACAAGTGAAGGAACCAACAGTAATATTGTTTGGTGGGCTATTGTACAAACACTGATCCTCATCTCCATTGGAATCTGGCAAATCAAATCACTCAGAGATTTCTTTATCTCTAAGAAGCTTGTTTAAGTCTTATAAAGTAAATGCCCAGGTTCAAAAACTGCACACCATGTAACACTTAATGTATAAAAAAACCTCCTATGAGAAAATTGGTTTCTCCATTTATATTACAACCACTGACATCCCCTTACATTTTATTCCTTGAATCCCCTGCTTTATCACTTCCCCCCCCCCCCCCCGCAGAGGTAAAGTTAAATGTAAAAGAACTCAGTGACTAAGGCAGTGACTTAAGTTCAAAGCAGGATTGTTATATCTAAAATAAAAATAAATAAAAGAAACCCAAACTTAATATTTTGAGTTTTTCTACTTGCTAAGTAATCTTATGCGATACTACCATAAAAAGTTCAGCATTTCAGACTGACTGAGGTTCAGATAGTAGGCAGAGAAACAACTGTGTTCCCTGCTGTGCTTAATTTGCTGTCAGTGTCTTGAAGTCCACCTAGCTGTAACACCTACCTTTTCCTCAAATATAATTGTGAATGTTTTCTTCTAAAATATTCAAAGTTTTCAGTGACAGGGGAGCCCACCCTTAAGATTATGACCAGCAGCTGCAGCAATTACCACGGAAGAGAGAGACCCACACAAACACTTTGGAATTTCATTTCCTTTTTACTTTCAGATAAACCCTAAACATTAGGCTAGAGTTGAGACCAGACCTTGCCCACAGTTGTTTATGTAAGTTATGGTATTTATGAAGTAAAGTCAAATCATAGATTTCTTAATAAACACTGAATTTGTGACTATATTTTTTATTTTATTACTATACTGAATTCTTCAGTCTGTTTCTGTGTTGGAGAATTATTTCTATTTTAATTATTCAGCAATCATATGATGACTGTCTAAGGAGCTTTCCAGTTTTTGACGTAATCGTGTATTTACATTTCACTTACTGCAACTTTGTTGACTATTTCTTTAGGCCTTAATTTAGGTAGTTTATGTACAACTAGCAGAACAAGCTACAGTATCATGTAATTAAAAGTCAAAAGCTATGGTTAATAACTCAGATAAAACACCAGAAGTGTAAGAAGGAGCTGGAGGTGGTTATAACATCACCCACCTCAGCACTTGATTAAAATATAATTAACTTGAAAAAGTTTCTTGATAGCGCTGTGATAGTAGAATATTGTGGTTTGGCATCCTACTTCTCTTTCCAGACCCTTCACTAATTTAAAAGGTAGTAAAAGCTGAGATATCTCTAGACCAATTATTGTTTCAAAGGCACTGCTTTTTTTTTCTGTTTTCTATCTTCTCACCTTTTGTTTTCATTAGCAAGGAAATGACATTGCCCTTTAAGTTCACTTACATTTCCAGCATGAGAATTAAAGTGCATCTGTGTGTATGTGAGAATCCATAAAGCTGATAAAAAGTAGAGACAAAAGACAATGCTCTATGGACCGCATCAATCAAAATTAAATCTCATAAAGCTACTCACTGAGGTGTGTCCTAGATTTAAAAATTCTGAGACTTTAGAGTTGTCACTTGAAATGCCCTTGAAATAAGTGTTATTAAATTGAAATAAGTGTTATTAAATTCACTTTTGTAGAGCACTCACACACAATATGTCTTGTAATAACATCTTTGCTGCTGGGAAAGATGGAAAGATGTGTTAAAACTATATGGTATATGAAGACAATGAAGAAAGCTTAATAAAGGTTTGCTACAAGGTTGTGGTTCAGAATTTAGTTGATATTTAGTGTAACTACATAGAATCATAGTATAGTTAGGGTTGGAAAGGACCTTAAGATCATCCAGTTCCAACCCCCTGCCATGGGCAGGGACACCTCACACTAAACCATGTCACCCAGGGCTCTGCCCAACCTGGCCTTGAACACCGCCAGGGATGAAACATTCACAACTTCCCTGGGCAGCCCATTCCAGTGCCTCACCACCCTTACAGTAAAGAACATCTAACTACATCCCAGTGACAAACTTTTCTCACTTAAAATGCACTTAAGCTTTAAATCAAAAGGACAGGCACCATGTCAGAATCTATAAAGGAGCTGATTATGTTCCTCTATATTAATTAAGTCTATACTCAAACAAGCACTGAGACTTGGAGCCTCGACTATAGCTTGAAAGCACTGCATTTTTTATCTACAATAATAATTAAATATCTTTGCTTTGATGAAATGCTTTCAGCCTCCTTCAAGATTTTTAATTAACTCTATAAAGTAGAAGCTGATTCACAGCTGTTTTGGGAAGCACTTTGGGGTCAGTATTCTTTATGCACTTAAAAGCCAAAGGTTGCTCCTGTGCAGTCTGTGTCTGTTGTACCCAGAGCTACAGCCTGCACTGCAAGTAGATCTGTAAGGGAATTTTCCCATAAAATTTTCATCAAGGGAAATTAGCAAGCCCTGGGGTTTTTTACAGTCTAAGAAATTAAACTCAAACCTCCTTGTTTTGCTCTTTTTCCTCACTCAAAGAAGCAACAAGAAACCTGTGACAGTAGATTAATAATAGTCACAGAGCCTGGAGAAGGCTGCGTGGAGACCCCAGAGCAGCTTCCAGTATCTGAAGGGGGCCTACAAAGGATGCTGAAGAGGGACTCTTCATCAGGGACTGTAGTGATAGGACAAGAGGTGATGGGTTCAAGCTTAAAACAGATTTAGGTTACATAAAAGAAAGAAGTTCTTTACTGTGAGGGTGCTGAGGTGCTGGCACAGGGTGCCCAGAGAAGCTGTGGCTGCCCCATCCCTGGCAGTGTTCAAGGCCAGGTTGGACACAGGGGCTTGGAGCAAGCTGCTCTAATGGAAGGTGTCCCTGCCCGTGGCAGGGGGGTGGAACTGGATGAGTTTAAGGTTGTTTCCAACCCCAACCTGTGCTCCTATGATTCCTGTGTTTAAAAGAGTGAAAAAGCACTGCTGTTTTCCACACACCTGCTGTCCTGTCAGCAGTCCCTGCTGCATAGGTGCCCCTGTGATGAGGACAGAGCTCATGGGGAAGCCCCTACCCAGAGCCCTGAATGCTGGTTGACCCCAGCTGCTCACGTTTGGGGAAGAGAAGGGGAAATCTCTCAGAGAGGATTCCCTGCATGGGCACTCTCTCTGGTTTGGTAGTGAAGGGCCAGAGAGCCTCATTTATGGGGGTGTGAGGGTCAAACCCTGCTGACAGCAGGCACCTGTGCAGTGGGAGGGGCACCGCCACCCCTCACTTCAGTGCCTGGAGGAGCCTCGGGAGGAGGAACATGGCGGCAGGAGGCCTGTAGGCCTCACCCTAGCACCTGCCTCAGCTGTCGGCTCCCTGCCGTGCCCTCCTGCCCCTGCACCCCATGTCTGTCGCCGTGTTCTGCAATGTCTGCTTCTGTGAGCCCCGCAAGCCCACCCCACAGTTCAGCCTCACGAGCTGTGGGCATGTTGTCTGTGAGATCTGCCTCCAGAAAGGTAATGGCTACTGCAGGCAGGGCGGCTTGGCCCTCTGCTTCAGCTGCTGGTGTGTACATGTTTACTTTGACCATTAGCATTCCTGAATCACTGTGGAAAACAGACAGGCCTGAGCATTTCTCTTTGTCAATTGAATGTTACTGATAAACATTTGCAGTTCTTGTCACTGATTTTCTTTCAAAGGTAAAAACCAGCTGTCTGCCTCCAGAGGGATTTGACTGGAGCGATGAAGCTTTTAGACACAGAAAACTGGAGGCTTTAATAAAAGTTGAGTCTGGGTGCTAATGATGCATGATTGTACTGTAAAAAAATACAAAATATGGCATTCTGTTCAGTCTCATTTTGGAAAGAAAATGATTTTTCATTACTGAAAGAGCAATTTGCAAAACAGGATTTGTTTAGGGCAGGTTTTGTTAAGTCTCAAGTCATTGTGTATCTCAGCATTGTCACTGACACAGTTTCAGTGTTTCAGTGACACAAACAGAACATTTTCAGCAGTGTTAAGAGGATTGGAAATGATGTTTTGAAACTCTTGTGTGCTGTACGCAATTCCTGGGCCATATTCTGGGACTCCTGTGATGTGCTTAGATGAAGAGCTATGGAAAAGATAGCAGAATAAAGGAGTTGCTTTTCAAAACAAAAAAGTAGCAGACAAATAGCAATATTCTTCCCTTGTGGCCATGCTAAACACTCTGGGGTTTATTTTTAATAGCACACAGGATAAAATCACTCTGTATTTCAGAAAACTTTCAGACTGAAAATTTTCATAGGGTTACTGTTAAGGAGAGAAAATCATAGAATCATAGAATAGTTAGGGTTGGAAAGTACCTTAAGATCGTTTAGTTCCAATCCCCCTGCCATGGGCATGGACACCTCATACTAAAATGCATATCATAAAATATGCATATCATAAAATGCACTCTCTAAATGCAACTTTCAGGATCCTAGAACATGAACACCAGCTTTTCTTTCTGCTTTTTATATTGTTTAACAGGAAAAGATCCCTGAGATATATTTTCTTTTGCTCTGAATTCAATAATATTGATAATATCACATTTTAAATGTATTTACTCTTTAAAGATGCTTATAAACATTGATCCTTAGAATTCTTAGAAAAGAAGCAGCTGGTATAATTATCAATTATAATTATTGTAGTAATATGCATTTGCTAGGAATATCTCTTAATATGTTTGCAAATAATCAAAGAGGCATTTTAAAAAATTATAAAGTTTTAAAAAGTTATTTGATGATTTTTTTGCTGGAAAATTTCACCATGTAAAATTATTAATTCTTAGAAATTAAGTTTTCATGTAGTTTGTTGAGAGAGCCAGACTGGGTCCCAGTCTAAAGCCACATACCTGGTTGCATTATTAGTGCATTTAAGCATGCATTTAATTAGGAGACAAGTAGTCCTTTTTAAATCAACAAAACTGAAAGTCACCTGCATTCACTGATACTAATTATATTCATAAAAGCATTTACATGAATGCTTCTTTGCAAGAGTAAGACCTGATGACATTCACGCATACTGTTCACATGCAACAGTGTGTAGTGGTTATGGAGGTAAATTCTTTATTCAGGCTTATTTTGTATTTTTTGTATAACTTCCAGATTCCTTCCACAGTCTCCAAAGAAAAGTTTAGGCATCACATTCTATTAAAAATGTATTCAATATCAATTCAGTTTGATGTATATTTTAAATTTGTCTTTACCTTGCAGGCAAAAAAGATGAATGTTTGATCTGTAGAACTCCTTGTCGTACATTAGTCCTTTCAAAACAGGTAAATGAAGCTTTAGTATTCTGTTACATTAATGTGTAGTTTGTTTAACAGCTAAATTATTTGCATTACAAAATACTTCCCTTTTTTTTGCCCACTGTGACACAAATGTTTACTGATAATAGATTGGTAGAGTTAAGATACTTATGCACTATAAAGCTTTTAGTTTTATGGATTTCTTCAAATAAAAGCCTACAGAGACTTTTCGTGTTTTCAGATTTTGCTGCATAGTAAATCACTCCAACCTTTTCCAGAAATATGACTAGCTACAGTGTAACAATGGTGACTACTTTAAAAATTAGGAAAAATATTTATTGACCTTGGCATTTGTGCATCAGAGGAAGTGGACTGTAATGAATTATTTCTAGTAATAGACTGAATTGAAAATCTGTATGGTAGTGCTTCAATGTTCTCAAGTGTATTGGGATTTTTTTCTTGTTTTCTCTTAAGCTTAACTTTTTTCCTCATGGCCATGTGATTAAGAGAGGATCTGAAATATTGTTGGGAATTCTTGTTATTCACTAGAGAATGAATATCTTTTAATTCCTTTTCGTGAGTATCATCAGAAAGATTGAATTTTCCTATTTCTCTCAGGAACTATCTTCTCTTTGCCAATTTCATAAATGGATTGGGAAAAAAAAAATCTATTTTCCTAGACTAATGCCTACCTAAGAGACAAGCTTGCCTTACAGTGATAGAAGAAAAATACCAAGAGTATTCAATATAGCGAGCACCTAATGTTCTACAAGGCAGTCGTATACAAAATTGAGGAAACTTTGGGCATGATTTCTCTAGATATGCTTAAAACTGAGCTGTTGTATATCTAAACATTGAAATCTTTAACTCCACATACTATAATTTAACTGTACAAAGTGTATATACAAAGTAAAAAGCTGTACACTGTATTTCATTGTTATAGACACAGAATCTTGCAGAACTGAAACAGGATGAAGACAGTGCTAACAAACATAAAAAATTACAGCAAACCAGCAGAATGCAAACATAATACAAAGGAACAATACACATTAATCAAATTAAAAAAAAGAAGCCCCTCATAAAACTCCTAAAGGAGGTATTTTATTAAGCTTTCAAAATCAGCCTAATTTGGCTGCAAGTTTTGTTATTAATTTCAGTCACAGAATAATTTAGGTTGTCAGGGACGTTGTCCAACACCTTGCTCAAAACAAAGCTAATTTTCAAGTTAGATCAGGCTTAAGTTGCAGCATTTTAACAGACCTTGATAATTTACTTCAAAATTACTGAAGAAATTAAAAAATGTAATGATTGGGAAACTCACAAAAATATTAGATGTTTCATTAGAACCTGCTACTGCTCTGGAGGACTGGAAGGAAGCAAATTACCATATTCTTTAAAAAAGACATTAATGATGATTGCTTAGCCTTGATTAAGAACAGATAAAATGATTGGAATGATAATTAAAGGTGCATATAAAAAAGTCATGACTCTATAATTCGTCAGCCCAAGTGGAAATATACCTGGTAAGCTTTATGAGCTTGATGCAATGGAAGAATTCCTAATGAGTAGGAGGTCCTATAAATGTATTAAAACTCCTCATTAAATTGTATATTGGGCCAATCAACATCTACACATTAAATATTCTCATCTTTATCGTAATGCATGCTTGTCACCTTTACATCTTCCTTCTATGTCTCATGATCCACACTTGCTTTTTCCCAGAGGATGGTTAAGTGTTGTGATAAATCAGAATCTCACTGTTCATTACTTCAGAATATCATATTAACATCTGCTACTCCTCTGTGCAACAGATAAAATATAAATAACGTTCAACAAACCTTTATCTTAAAGATCTTTTTTTACATCAGCAATGAAGCTCCTTAGCTTTTATAATTTTTTTAAGACAGGAAAGGTACTTAAACTAAGGTCATCGCTTTGTTAGGACCCTAAATAGGTTTCTAGAGTTTGCCTCCTCATGAAGGTATCTTAAAGGTGCCAAATGTATTTTTATGAATATGATGAACTTGTATTGTCTTGTTGGTATTTTCTTCACTGAAATACTGTAGATAAGTTAGACTCTACTGTGGGTCTATCTGCTTTTCTCTTTCTCTGTCTGCCAATACACCCTGTGGAAATTTTTGAATGTTTTGGGTAATGTCAACCAAATTCAAAAGGGCAGAGGAAGTCTCAAATGCAATTAATTTCCTCCTGTGAGTTCTATAAAAATTAGTAGCTGGGGAAAGCAAGGAAAAACAGTTTAATTCCCCCAGTGAGAGCAATGCAAGTACAGCTCATCAATAACCAGAACTGCATTTGACAGCCACATGCACAGTTCTACATTAACCAAAGTGCATGCCATCTTTACTGAGATGAATTGTTATACAGGACATCAAGGTGGCTGATGTCAGAATATAAAGAACAAATGATATAAATCTGTTGCCAATGCAGCTTATTAATGTAGTTCCTCACACAATTATTTTTCATACATATGAGAAACAGTTTCTTCTTATCATTATAAACATGTAAGTATAAAATTTAGGCACTCATTAAAAATCGGTGTGGGAAATGCAGCTGTTATTTAGTCTTTCATGCTTGACTTTTTTCTATACTATTTTTGGAGTAGGTAAAAATACTGCCTCTCTATATGTTTGTGTATTTCCAAGTGGAGCAAAGCCTAATTCTTTTTTATTTCAATGGGATATTTTTAATTTGATTGCACTGCTCTTTCTATTTTCTTAGTACCACAGGAAACTGTTGCTTCATTCACAGGCGGCCCACTTCTTATTTCTTTCAAAAATTGACCTTTCTTTAAATTTTTTCAGTTTTCAAAAGTTTTGGAGATTCTTTAGTACTTCTGGGATTAATTTACATTTTGCCTGCAAAGATTTCAGGTTTTTATTACTGGATTTTGAAAGGTAGTTTCTTACATGAAGGATGTCTTTTTTTTCTGGGAAAATCTTCTTTTATCATCTAAGTATGCTGGGACTTTTTCTTTTTTGCTTTTTATTCAAATAGATTAGTTGTAAACCTACCTTCTATCATACAGTCACAATATGTCAAAAAGGACCTTTAGATGTAGGGATTTTTTTGTTGTTGTTTTTTTTTTTGCTAGATTCCTTGTTTTTAAAAGCTGTTCACTGTTACTGTAGAAGATAATTGAAATGGGAGCACTGTTAGTTCTTACTAATGTACTATTTTAATTTAGTACTATAGTGTAAACATTTTGAGATTGTATTTTGTTTATTTTTCTTATGAGTAAATTAAGAATACATGTATTCTGGACTAAAGTAACACTTCACTAGGTTACCTATGTTGGTTTGTAGATTTGGATAGCTGTCCAAATGTCACTATCATTCTGAAATTTACTTAATATTTTGTAGCATTTATTTCTCACCATGAATAATGAATATATCGCTATTACAAAGATAGCTTATGTACAGAGCACTTACTCTGCATTTTCTAAAAACACAAATGGCCATTTGTGAGGCCCCATCATGAACTCTGATTGAAAGGCTCAGTCATAAAATACTTGGAAAATTCATCTGTCGTTTTAGGGCTTTTCTCTTATATTAGGATGGACAGGCAGGAGAGAGAAAGAGCCTCCAGTCAGTATGGGAACTATTCTGAACAAGGACTTTGAAACAAAACTGATTGTAAAGTACATCCATGTGGCTGGGGATGGTGAGAGCCAAAAAGCCCAGAAAGGGACTCGCAGAAACCTGTCTGTCTGAAGGCAATGTGTCTTCCAGGGGACCACAACATCTGGCCTGAATGTCCTCTGGAAATTGTTATTGTCATAGTTACAATAAATACATATGCGTGTAATATATTCAAACAAAGGCAGAAAACCTTCCAGATGGTTAGTAAGAGCATTAAATAAAACCTGGCTTTTTTTTCAGTTTCTGTATCAGCTTAGTCTTGATCTGTCTTTTTTTTTTATTTATATACATCTATCAATTTAAGGAACACTTCTCAAAATGATTTATTTAATATAACTTGCAAATATAGGTGCTAACCTTAATATACTTTCTTTTCTTGATAGACAAGTCCTGATATTCAATCACTGTTCATGGGAATAGATACGTTATGCAAGAAATACTCAAAAGAAATAACACAGGTGAATATGCTTTAAAACTTTTTAACTCTATAAAATAATGAGCAACCTCTAATGATTTTTATATCAATGGGAAAAAGATACAAGTGAATGCTTGAAAGTGAATGTATGTCCATTATTATCTTTATTTTCTTAATTCCACAGCTTCAAAGCTCTTAAGAAATCATAAATTATTCATCATGGTTACTGCTTATGTTTTCAAGCTCTCTCTGAGGACCACTAGTCTGGTTATTTTAATGGTGTAAAATCACTTTCAATGCCATGCAATGACAAATTAGATCTGCCAGAACCTTAAACATGCCTGGATAGTGTGTCCTAATTGTAGCAATAAAAAGTTACACAGAAAAAACCTGAGCTAGCTAAAGTCCTGAGCTGAATGCTCCCTCTCTCATCAAACCAGGTCTGCTTTTTCAAACAGAAGCAATAAATGATTCCAAGGTAACTTTCCTTCCTTCTTTTCGTGAACTCCAGGCAAGATCCCTTCCTTCAAGCTGAGTATCCAATGCAGAACTTTAGTAGCTGTCTGGGTTAAACGAATACATATAAACTCCCATTGACTACTTGTTTTCTTCATCTCTTCATCTTGGCTTTTGGGCTTGCCCTTGTCCCTCATTACTGAGCATTTCAGTGTCAGTTTCAAGTACTCCAGGTTGAATTGCAGGACATTCCCCGTGAACTCCCCTGCAACCTTCATTGTGTATTCTTATCTCCCTTGGGCTGGTACTTGTTTGATCTTGTGGCGAGCTTCCTGATCCAGCAGAAAAGTAACCCAGGGAATGTCACCTGCTTTCTTTGGTGGTGATTATGGGTTCACGTTTGCTCTGCTCCGTGCTTCAGAAACTTCTCCAAAGCTGAGCATGGTTCCTTTCCTCAGCACTCCTCCTCCTAAGATGCATAGGTGAATAAGGAAAAGAGGAAGCCTTTCTCTGTCCTTCCATATACACTTTTTAACAGCATATATGATGATCAGCAGTTATTCTGAACAAATCCAGACAGCTATACCACCAATCCGTCACAGGTGAATGCAAACTTCTGTAATGTGTCAAAGACAGAAAAAGAGGACACAATCACAAAAGACTAAGGTGGGTTTTCTGTAGCCTGAGATAACGTGTGGGAAACATACTGAAGCATAATTACGCCTTAAGGTATGTTTAGAACTTCTACCAGCATAAAAAAGACATGAGAGCAGTTTATAGTCTGTGAGGGCAAAGGTTTATCTAATCTAATATCTAATTTCATATGTAGTCAGAGCAGCAGGTGCTTAGGAAAGCATGTGAGAGCAAGACTGGCGTGTATGTCTTCAGAACAGCCTCCTAGATTTCAGTGGTTTGTGGCACAGGGATTTCTCAAGGTGGGCTTAGTGCCTTTGCATTCAAAAGCTTTTGATGAATAATTTTCCTCATTTTATTGTCAGGTTGTTTATCTGAATATTTAGCATCTATCACATACTGTCGAATGGAAGTCCACAGTTTATACACTGTGTGGTGAAGATTTCTTTTTTTCAGGTTTTAACCTGCTACATGGTAGTTTAATTTGATACTCTGAAATCCCATTTTAGAAGAAAAAGTAGCTGTTTCCCTGCACTTCATCTGTGCTAGTCATTGGTTTTGATCTGCTAATGCAGCCCTTCTTTGACTTTTTACAGCCATGAAGACTTTTATTCTATGTGGTCATTCTTTTAATGCAGATCTTACATACCTTTGGCTAATCTGAACTGTTTCTAGACCTACTATATCCTTCCTGGTGTTAAGAAGACTCAGGACAGAATAACAAACATTTTTCTTTTTTAAGGGGAATAATGATGCTCCCTATTCTATTCCTTTTGTAACCACTTCTAATTTGCTTTTTTGATAGATACTGAGCACCAAATTGAAGTTTTCACAGATTTCTCCTTTGTAGACCCAAGACTTCATTTCTGAGTGGTGGGAGGCAGCTCAGGGCTATTACTTTTTGAGTAGCCATTTCTTCCATCAGTTCTTCTGAAGAAATTTCTGGTCCTTTGTTGAGTATCCAGTTGGAACCTCTCGGGCTTTTCTGCAGTGAAATAAAAATAATTAGATACCATTTCAATTAGGTACTCCACTATGGGTTTATCTTCTCAGAGTGTGTCTTCTTGGTTGTCTCTATCCTACACATTTTCTGTCAGATTTCTTACACGTGAGAAGATTTACTAGTAAGTTACTACCTATTGTAATTTATTCCTCAAGCTCTTGTCTTGCCTACCTTGTATTTTTTCACTTTTAATCTGTTGTGGTTTATGATCCTCATTTGGACCCAAGAAGTGCTTACACACCACCAGACAGTGTGCCTAACAATTATTTTTTAATTAACAAGGTACTTCTACAAGGCAAGTTATAATTGTCAGTAAGACACATTACTTTTTATGTTGCCATTAATTTTATGTGTTTGCTTAACACTAATGAATAAGAAACACCACAGCTTAACTGGCTTTCCGATGTCTTTACCTTGTTATTGAACATAGTGCTAAAATATTAAAGTCAGTGAAATAAATCTACCAACTCTGGGGTAGGTCATACTAGTTTAAATAAACTTTATGAGACTTTTGTGGTGATAACAACTTAGAATGTTTTGTTGGAGAGGATTTAAATATATGTTAAATACTTATTCAAATATAGAAATCTGTGAATACCGTGAAATAGTTCTTCTCCATAACTTTTTTGCTGAGTCTGCATGAATGTCATTAGGTGAAGCTTGATATAACTGTATTTATATTTAGATTTCAGAGTTTCAAGAGAAACATCGTAAACATTTATTAGCATACCACAGACAAAAGGTAACTGTTAACTGCTATTTTTTGTTTGTTTGTTTGTTTGTTTCTTGTGTTTGCCTTGTTGTTATGGTTTATTTTTAGAAAATAAATTCAACTTTTATTGGAATGCTTAGAATAATTTATGATTTGTAAGTGTTTTAAAACTGCGTTGTGTCAGGGTCAGAAGAGGCTGGTTGTCTTAAACACCCTATGTGAGCTATGGCTTGTACCAGTGAGGTTGTTTTGGTGGAGAAATATTTTGACAGTGGAGCTGAGGTGAACGAGGAAAAGAAGAGTTCCCCTGTGCAATGATATACCTGCCTGTGGGTTTCAGCTAGCAATGCTACCTCTTTCAGGGCTACTGGGAGGGAATCTGAAGGAGCTGGGGAAGGCTAGATCACAGCTGGCAGAGTCACACAGGATGAGAGAGTGGGAGTAGATGCTCACACTCAGGGCTATAATCTCCTTCTGAGTCTTCCTGCCACTGTTTTTGAGATGAAGGTGGGAAGAGGATGGAACAAGAATGATTTACAATATAAATAGTTTGGTGAATGGCAATGACCCCTGGAGAGCTGAAGATGCACAAATCTACCCTTTGACACAGGTGCTTCATCCTGTCAGTCTCCACTCTGCAGGTCTTTGCCTTTGAGAGAGATGGAGTACTGTGTAAAGAAATTCACAACTGGGTTCTCATGCTAGGCTAACTTCTTTCTGGTCCCCTTTTTTATTTCTAGTATGCCATTGTTGTCACTGTCAACCATCAGCTCTCATGACCTTGATAAAAACTTCCTTGTTGCTGTTTCTGTGAGTTGTACAGATACTGGGGTGCAGAGGATGGTGTGTGATGTGGGTGTTGATGCCCATACTCCTGGCAAGTCTAGGCTGTAGGTTATGATAGGACTCAAAGATACTGGTAACCAAGTAGTTATTCACCTTCTTTAAAGCATTTTGGCCTTAAAATGATCCAGTAACAGGGTAACAGGGTAAAGTACATTCTTCTTGACATCCATACTGGACACTTTCTTAATCAAACCTAGCTTTCATTAGGAAACAGAAGAAAGAATACCAAAGATGAGATCTTACATAAATTAGATTTTGTCTTTAATCTGTTCTGCAGAGTTTCACATCTACAAAAAGAAATGCGTAATATCTCCCACCAAAAATATTATTTTATAAAGGTATAGCAGGTGATGTTATTAAAGAATTCTAATAATACTGAAAGGAGAAGCCTGAAAAGTTAACAAGAAAATTCATAATTTGTCTTCAAATCAAAATATGAGACGTGTGAAGCAATGAAGGAGTAAGGTCACACAGTGGCAATTAATGATAAAATACGGATGCAGTATTGAGGCTATTGAGTAAAGTTTTACATCCTTCATAAAACATAATCTATGATCATGTAATGAAAGACTGTAAAAAATACACATACTAGGGAGATGACCTAATGTTCTTGACCTTAATATTCTTCAATTTTGTAAGCTCATAACAGTCTTTAATAGAGATATTTTTGGTTGTGTCTGTAACGTAATAGGAAATACTCTTCTCCTAAGCTTATTTCAAAGAGATATTGAAAAGAACTGAATAAGTTTTGAGTATGAAATGAGAATTACAGGAACATGGTATTTAGTACTTTGTACAGTTATTGGTATCTTTTATATCAGGTATGAAAAAGAAAAAAAAAGCAAACTATTTTTAAGCACTTTTCCTAGTATTTATTTACCCAATATTACCAGCACATTTAACAAAAGGTAATCAAACTAAGTCAGTAACTGCCCCAAAGAAACATATATTTTTCACACTGTTTAATGGATCATTATAACAGCTGTAGTCTTGCCCTCAATAAATCTGCAATAGCAATGGAGTCTAAGATTAAAACCAATAGAAAACAGCCTTTCAACACTTTCGAATACTAATTGTATAAAAATGAAGTTTGTATCACATAAACAGATTTTGTTTAAATCTATGATTATCTCACAGACAGTAAAGTTGGAAGAATCTCTACAGAAAGTAACACAACAAATTCAGCAGCTACAACGGTAAGGGGTTTAATGCAGCAAAAGTAAATGAAGAACAGTCTTTGTAATCAGAAATCAGGAAGTTTAATTGATAAAGCCATATAAAAGTTAAGCTTGCTTTGACTTTCTCATATATTCTGTTGTATAAATAGAAGGTGCATATTTTGACAGAAATAAATGGATACTAATTTCTGTCATCACCTCCATTTCCTTCTCAGTAATCCATCCTGTCAGGAAAGAATCCCTTTATTTTAAAACTTAGGAGTTACTCTAAAGGTGAAATTTTAGCAAGAGACAGCCAAGAGGTAGTACATCCTTATCCCGCTCTTCACTGATTGATACAACCTAATCTTTTTATCATATTTATTTCCAACTTACAGATCTTGTTGATCCCTAAATACACTCTACGCTATTGCTTTTCAATTAATTACATCTTATTTCAATTATTGTTGGGAAAAGTCACTTTTTTAAACACATTCTGAGTTCTCAATATTGATGTAACTTTCTATCTTCAGAACTTTCATGTTCAGATTTCACAGCTTGCAGGCTGTTCCTGACCCATCATGGAGTATTTCAAACAGGATCAGCTGCAAAACTAAACTGAAGGGGTTTTTGCACTCTCATTTCTGCACTCTCTTAACCCCTTTTTGTCGTTGTTTCCCTTTTAACATTATTTATGTTATACTTACCTGAATATACCGCTCTTACCAGTTTTACATAGCTGTTAGTAAGTAGCATAAGTATGCCAACATTTCTTTTGATAACTGTATTTTTTAAAGTTTGGGAAACGTATATATTGAAAAGAAGATTTTTGGCTCAACTGCAGTTAATAGCTGTATTTTAACATCTATTATTCCATAAAGTATTTTGCCATAATTTTATCCTAAATTGATCTCATTGGGCAGGCAATGACTGATACAGACATTAAAATATGAAGAAGTTAATAGCTTTATTATGTTTTTTACATTATATATAATACATTATTATTTTGTTTCATGGCAAATGTTATAGTGTTAAAACCAGCTATTGATGGATAAAATGCATTGATTTTATACCTTATTGACCAGCTGGACAAGTGAACTAACCAAACTAGCTCTTAATTCATATCTGTTGTTTCTTCTTTCTCCCCCTTAGTATGAAAACTCCTGAGCAACCTGCACAGCTACCATTTTCCAGTACAAGTAGAAATCCATTTTCCAGTAAGAAGTGTTGGCTTAAGATACTAAATATGGAATACATATCACTGGATATATCTATGTTCTAATTTAAAATGTATCATCAATGGCTTTAGATCCTTCAAGAAAACAGAATGGATATCCTTCATGTTCTCTTCATTCTAGTCATGCCTCCACCTCTGACATGTAGGTATAAATTGTTGACTTTCAGTATAAAGCGTAACAGTGACTATATACTGATACTTTATACACAAAGCCATTTTTAAAGTGAGTTTAAAATGAGTATATTTTCTGATTTTGTGTTTTGCTTCTGCAAATTTGGTAAGTATGAAAGAACTGGGAAGGGTCTTACCTATCCAAGTTTACATAATAACTAATGGCATAGATAGCCTTTGTACTCACTGGAAAAATATCTAAGGCATGATGCACCTTAATCTAAAGACTTTTTGGATGGATAGGCTGATGAGTTAGTTAGGACCTCTTCCCACTGATTGTAGGGAAAACCTAAATGACTCGTACAGACATCTATATGTATATTGTAGTAGTCTAAGGTTATATGGAATGAACTCCAGTAAGGCTCATTAACTTTTAAAGAAATTGAACATACAGCTTGCTCAGGCTTAAAGATTTTTGTAACTGTGGCCGTGACTTTACTTTTAATAAAAGGAAAAATTACAGAATGCCCTTGTTGTGAAGACAAGTGACATATATATAAACATGCATACTTATTCTGACTTAAATACAAGAATAACAATGCTAATCATAAAAAGAATTTCTCTGTAAATGCCTAAACCAAAGCTCAGAGTCAATTAATAGATTTTTCTTAATACAAGTCCTAAATACTCTTTGCGTTATGCATTATATATTATGCTTTTCCATTAGCAGTCAAATTGAACATGAGAATGTCACATAATTTAAATCATTATAATGAATGTATTGGTTTTATTACAATGTCATACATTTTTTGACTTTTGCTGTAAGATTTGAGCCAATGGAGATTGATCCTATACCGTCACCAATGAGGAAAGTAAGTGGTTTTTTTTGTATATATGTTTATATATATATAATGCTTTTGATTTCTCTTACTGTTAATACTCTCCCCTTCCTTCAAAGCAATTCTTATGTACATGCTGATTTCAGCTATGCTCAATGCTTAATAGAAGTCAGATGCTCCCCCAAAAGGAACCAAAAAGAAATAAATCACAACATTGATTTCTAGAATTCTAGAATCTAAAATTCTCCATATGCCATATATGGGCTTTTAAACCTCCTATGTTGAGATCACAATATGCTTATGTTATAAAAATATTGTCACTGTTTCAAAAGTAAATGTTGCTAATGTATGAAACTGAGAGTTGCAGTTAAATTTAAGTTCTAATATATTAAGGAATGGAGATACATGTAAGATCTCCACCTTCACCAGACCTTGTGCAGATATCCGAAGTGCAGATTCAAGCTAATGTCTCAGGGTTTCCTTTATAACCTATGAATTGGTTATGTCCATTGATGAACCAATATGCATAGGTTATATCTATGGATTAGTATTTGCAATTAATCTCATTCTAAAGGAAACTTATTTGTCTCATCCCTGTTTCTCTTCCCTCGCCATAAAGGTAATTTCAGCGCATCAGTCTGTATGTAAATGATGTCATTGCAGATGTCTTGTTACAAGAGATGAATCACTTAGTGAACTTCACATCACACCAATTCTCAAAACATTCCTGAGATTTCATTTATCATGAATAGAAGTTCTTTTTTTTTAATGCACAAAACAAACAAGTCATTATCTTTCACCTTTCATAAACATTTTTGTTTGCTGCTTGCTTCTGTCTATGCTCCGTGACAAGAAGTGTATAGTATCTTCACATGTTTAGTAAAAATTAAGTGTGGAAGTCAGTGATCTGAAATCAGTGCTAGAAAATTATATTTGAGTGGCAAATTTCAAGCCTTGAATGACATTTTTAAGATGAAAATGAAGGAAGCAGCTTTTCACTTTGTTAGTATTCTGATGAGAATGTCTGAGAAGCAGTACCTTATTTCTAAGGTTTTGCATTTTTGTGCTGTGAACAAAACTCTCAGTGGCGAGCACCAGAAATTTGCAGGTTTTAAACACCTCAAGAATGTAACACTATTTCTTAAAATACCTTAATAATTAGCAAACTTATAACACTGTAATTAATAACTTTCCGTTCCTTTAGCCTGAGACACCAACTGGTCCAACAAGATTATCATTAATCACTCCACCACAAGATGGACGTATGGGTGAGTAAACTGGATAACGTTTGTATTATGTTTGGAGGATTAATAATATAAACCCCATATATTTGCAATTTACTGAGCAAACTTGAATTGTGTCAAAGTATAAGGAACTTATTATGTAGACATCATTCCAGCAGATGGGAAATGGTTGAAAATGTGGAATGAAATAAGTCTTTCTAGTACTGACCTACTCTATTCTGTAAATAATAACTTGAAACCAAAATAATTTTTGCTGAGCAATATTGTCAAAAATTACAAAGAAAATAGTGTAATGATGGTTGAAGAGAACAGGCATACTTGCAATTTATGTTGTTGACCTTCTATTAAACTTCATAATTATATTTGTTTATAGTTACCAGAGATTAACATTGTCCATAATGTCATACTAGAATCACATGAAGAAAGTGGGCAAACTAAATGGAAATTACCAAAGTATTTCATACTAAAAGTGAGGTAATTAAGTTGAGGTAAAAAATTTCTTAAGAAAAGTGTTTTTTTTTTCACCATCTTACTCTCATAGGGAATAAAACTTTTTCCCTGTACATCCTTTCATTCCTGGGCTGTTACAGAACTTGGATAACACTCTGATATAATTAAGACATGAATAACCTGTTGAAATTAGTGTAGTCTTCATGAGTACTGTTTCTTTGTGAGGAGTTTTGCAGGAATCCTAATGCTCTGCCTTCTATGTGTGTCCCCCATTCTTGGTATTCCAGTCAGCATGTTTCTGCAAAAGTCTGTTCTCAGGCAGTCTCTCACCTGGCTTCGGTAGTTAATAGAATCCATTTCCAGCCACATAAAGGAGCTTTTAACACTTGTGTTTTCACACAGTGCAAACATCCTGAAACAAAGACAAATGCAATTGCAATGCAATTTTAATGAAGGAGCAAAACCTGCTTTTTCAATGCTACGTCTGATTTATATATTCAGATCCTTCTGCATGCTTGTCTATGAATTTACAGATGAGATAGTAAGTGAGGTTATTGTATTTTTTTGTGTCTAAATATAAATAGATATTTAATTAGGTAGTAAAAGTATATGCAGAACGGTTGTGTGTTCAGCACATTTCAGAATCAACCCATAAATTTTTGCAGTGGATAAAGCTGAACAAAACAAAATATACTTGCAATAGGGCAAATAGAAACAATAGTTAATGGTGTTTCCTTCTCAGATATGGACAGGGTAAGAAATAATTGCTGAAGAACTGAAGGACCTCAGCAGAGCTATCTTGGTAATCTAATAATTGTTAATAAATGAGAGGAGGTTGAAGACAGTAACTTGTTTAACTAGAAAAAGATTTTCAGGAAAGACACAATGTAATGTCTTTTTGTGATGGCTAAGCTCTATGTAGGTATTAGCTATTTAGGCTGAAGACAATTTTTCGCCTCCATGCTCCACGTACTGTGGAGGACTTTTGATAGCTTTTACTTTTGCTGGATCTTCTTTCAGGAAGAGATACTACTGGAAGACAGCTCATGTTTCAGCAAATGCCTTGCTCTGTTAAATTGTAAAAATACATTTCTAATTTTTAGGGCTATCTTAATCCTTTCTTAAGTGACATGGTGACTTTATTTCATCAGGCAAGTCCTTATCTTTCATTGTCTATTGTAATTGTGCACCATTTTTAATTCTTGAATAAACTGATCACGAATTTGTCCCAAATGATGCAATTGAAATACTAATCTTTCTTTCCAAAGTTATGCCTTTAGTAAAATGAGTAATCCATGTTGGTCCTGTTTTCAAAAATTCAATTCTTACAGGTAGTGTATCCTACAGAAGTTCTCAGTCATCTGGAATAACGTCAAGTCAATATAGTGGAGCAGGATCTACAAGGTAATTAAACAGCCTTTTAAGATGTTACAGTCTCCTACGAGAGACAGGATTTCCTTGTCTATCCTGTATTAATCTATATATTTAAAGGTTATATTCTATAACTGTAGAAATGTTATAGTGCAGACTAGCCATCATATATAGGAACGTGCTATTGTTGGAAGGTTTTATTTTGAAATCGCTTTCTTCAAAAGTCTGAGTTCCTGTAGCTGTGAAGATCTACAGTTACAGTAATTTTATAAAAAAGGGTAGTAATTTTATAATAAGAAGGTGCAACAATGTGTCTGCTTTATAATTCTTCTAAAAATCAGAGATGACAGACCAGTATCTGCACAAAAGCTATTTTCTGAATAACCTGAACAACTTCATGCAGCGTGCAGCAGGTGTTTCAGGTTTTTCATCTAAATATTGAAAATAAAGTGTGAAAATTATTAGCATCAAGAGCAAACTTATAAAGGTTACAGAAAAAATAAACTTTTATTCCCTATAATCATTAAGTAAATTACATCCTCCTAGCACACATTTAAAATATACGTAACAAAATGTTTTATTCTATCTCTGATTATCACATAATTTGTTTTGTCTTTCTGCTTTTGAAAATATGTAAGCGTTCTAAAGTAAAAATCCAATAAAGAATATGTAGAATACAGTAATTTGTAACATTTATTTTAAAATATTAACAGTATAAATTTAAGGTGGTTTGAAATCTCTTGTACTTTGAAAGTAGCCTGAAATCATACCCATGAATTATTTGCATTAACAGGTCCACACCTATAAGGCTACCACATAGTGGATTTTCACTTACATCATCATCTGGATCACAAAGTAGTAGAATGGGGACATGGGGTATTTCAGATCTCAGAACCCCTCAGCTGTATTCACTCACATCACCTTCCCCACAGCCATCTGCAACAAGACATCCAATCACCATCTCTGGACTTCTGCAAAGACAAAATTTAGGTAAGTGAATTTTATAAAGTAGTAACATTTAACAGTTACTGAAAAATATTCAGCATTACATATGCTTATGACTTATCTGCTGAAGAATTAAATCAAGAAACACAAAAATGATATTTCATAATTGGAAGTGGGCTATTGGCCAAATATGAAAAATGTTTATGATCAGTATTTTTCCTTAGTCTTATGGGTAATGGAATATCTGCTGTGAAAACATATTCTTGCTTCACATCAGGATGATATTTTACTAGAGATTTAAAGCTGATAATGCCCATAATTGTTTCCTACAAAAAAATACCATTTCTAAATACTGCAAAGCATATAATAATTTGGCAAAAAATAGTCTTTCAACAAATCTCAAGTAAGGAGTAGATAAAATAAAAACATGAGTGGAGGAAGTGCAATGAACTCTGTGGGATTTATAATAAGACTGAGATGGTCAATATGAGTCCTTTAATAAAGCAGAATACTTGAGATGCCACATGGAAAAGGACAAAAAAATGTCTGTAATGAAAAGAATGAATGGGAGACAGTTCCTGTATGACTGAATGATGTGCTGAGAAAGCAGGTGACAGGTGGCATCTCAGTATGTCCAGAAGAGAAAAAATGAACATAGAAGGGAACTGCAGTATTCTAAGATTAAGAAGTGAACTATTAGTCACTTGGTTATTAGGAACTAAGGAATATTAATGGATATGAAAGAATGAATTAAGTCATTCAGGAAATGAAAGGATAGAGTATGGGCATAGGATGAGGGAGAGAACAGGAAGGTAAATGTGTTAAGGAATATTAAAAAAAGATGAGGATACTAAAAGGGTTGTGATCAGAAAAGGAGCCCAGAACAATGCATGGGACAGAATAAACGCTATTAAGGAAACAGATTAAAGAGTTTATGAAGAAAGAAGATAAGAATGCAGAAAATCAATATAAAAGAGGAAGCAGGATGGACCAAAGGAAAAAAGATGGGAGGACAATAAAGGCTATTTTTCCTGCGAAGCAAGAAAAGCAGAAAAAAGATCTCTAGATAGTTAAAACAAGCAGACCAAACAAAAAGGCAAGGAATAAGAAAATGATAGGAAGAAAAAAATGTTTTGAGCTATATGTTTGCAACTTAATCGCAGTTCCTATGCAGAACAATGGTTTGGATATTCACCTGTGTAGCTGAAATTGGAATACGGCAAAAGTGCTTTTTTTATAGAAAGTGAAACATATTTCTTTTATAGAAACAAAAAGAGGCATGGTCAGATTCTTAAAAAGAGCTATGCAGTAGGTGTCATCAAAATGTATTTTTAATTTTTGATAGTTTAACTTTCTTCCTTGAAAAAGTTCCCAAAATAATTTACATGAATAAAGTTTTCCTTTAGTCTTATGAAGTTTTTTTTCCATTTGTACTCATATTCTTATTCTAGGATCAACTAATTTTTGAGGACATTCAACAGAAAGATGATAAGCAAACATCTGTGAATTGTTTTGGTCAAGAAGCATCTGGAGAAGCCCTAAACAGTCTCTGTGTATCAAAGTGGTTGCTATAAAATGTCAAATTGGCATAAACCAGCTGCCTATTCAGTATGCATAATATATTTAAAACATCACTGATCTTCCTGATTAACATCTACAGCAGTTTTAAACAGGAGTACAAAATCCTTTCACTGTTTTTTTTTTGTAGAAATTTTTGCTTAATATACGTTGTATAAATGATCAACCTTTATTAAATAAGTGTTAAGACAAAACAGTCAATGAGCATTTTTTGCTGTGAATGTATTGAGCCCTAGCAGAACTCTATTCTAAATGGTTGTGCCCGATTAGAGTATTAGAGGATAGGATTTTTAAGTTAAATTCCTTTCAAGCAAACTTCCATTTGAAACATTTAGTTTTACAATACCACAGATATCGACAAGGGAAGGACTGTGGTGTAACTTTTTAATACTCTCCTTTAGTACCATATGAGCTACAATAGCTTGAAAAATGAGGGTAGTAAAATATGATTGCCAGCTTCCACATTAATTGTGCCCCAGTGGTTGCCTGTTGGTTCAGGTCACAAAATGGTGTTCTTTCTAATTTCCATTTTATCATACTGCAGAATCATCATTGAAGTCTGTAATGTCATACCATAGGTTTATAATTGCTGAAAGTTGCATTCCACTATCACATGAAATATCTGGGGCTTATTAGCTTTGTTTCCCCCCCTCACCCTCATCAATTGCACGGTTGTAAAGGAAGACAAAATTTTAGGTTGATAAAGCTCCAAAGTTGTGTCTATAAATGGGACTTGTCTAAAGTTTCCCTGGTAGGAATCGTATGGGAAGGATTCACATATGGTAGTTCTGCAGAAATAATAATAATAAGGAATGCACCCTGTCATTCAAAGATATGGATAAGTAGACCCAGAGAGATGGATGATTTCTGCTTTGCTGCTCCCCATGGTGGTTTCCACACAAATTCAGTAACGATCTTCATGGCCCTGCTAATCTTTCCCAGTTAACCTTTTCTGTGGTAAATCCTTGCCACAGGCAGAATGTGTTTTGTGGCTGTAGACTGAGAAGAGAGCCTGGAAGAGCATGTCAATAAACAAAAGAAGTATAACATAAAAATGGTAGTTATAGAATTTACATCTGTTTTTAGTTAATTAGTACTATCTAGTAGTATCTTCTATTTAACAGGTAATCTGCTGATCTATTTGAGTCCACAGTCCAATCCTGAAGGGAAAACACCTGCTCATCCTCAGAGATGTTACAGCTTTGAAATGCATTTAAAGGAGAAAATAGAATGTAATTTGAGTAAAAAGAAAAGGCACAGGAACTATACATGCCAAATAGAAACATCCTTGAAGAGCATCATCTTCTTCCCAGTTCAGAACAAATGGAGAAATAGTTTCCTCTATCTGCCAATAAGCGCTAAAGTTTCCATATTCATTTCTCAGGCGCTCATCTTCACAGCATTTTTCTTGCTGTTATTAGGCATCAATCCTTTAATCTACGGAATTTTGCAGTACACTAATGATACACCAGAGGGTGCTAACTTACCTCTAAACAAATTTATTTAGTCATCGCACTCTTGGTTAAATAGAGTAAAATCTGTACTATTCTGGCCTTTTCAATTTGGAATTTGTATAGAAAAGGTACAAATAATAAAAAGAAGGGCAACAAAGTGATGCAGAGTCTGAAGATAAAACATCAGAAAAGCACCTGAAGATGAGCAACAAATGTGAGTGACTGAATGAACTAAACTGGATGTTAAAACAGTAATTCAGATAGAGGTGTCCACAAATATGTGAAGGGTAAAAATGGTAGCAGGGATTAGTCATGCTGGTGGGGTAAGCAGTAATGGTCTGAAGGAAGAAATTATTTGGCTTGATATTGGGAAACTTTATTAACAGAGTACTTCAGCAAGGTGCTGATCTCAGGGATAGGGTCAATGCACCATCACAGAGAGTGTTCAGGATTTCGGCATTAAGATGCCGGTGCTAAAGCCGTGGTGTATAGATTTATATACAGAGCCTGAACGGAAGTTCTTTCCAGTGTTTCTGTCTGCAGCTTTGTGGTTTGAAGTCATAAGAAGGCAGTAACTTATCTTTTGCAGTTTTCTGGGAGAGAACACGAGTATATATTTCACTACAAGGGTGTTTTATGCACATATAAACAACAGCATGAGATTTTATTACAAGTCAGAATCATGCTATTCATGCAATGGGTCACCACTAACACTGAAGGCATCCTCTTGTTTGCATTGTCGTTACCAGCTTCGGCTTCATTTCACAGTCATCACTTCTCTTTTTCACAAGGTGACACTTATACTATATAAGGTAACATTATGTCTATATATTGCTTTGTAGCACAAAGGAAGTCTATTGCAGACAAATGCTATATTATGTTGGACATAATACCTGATACTTGCCAAGTAGCATTTTCTACAATTGTGCCAATTAAAATGCGAAATTGCTACCACTTATTTTTGAGCTCTCATGTTCTGGCAGTCAGGAAAGAATGCCATAACTCATCAAGATGCAGCACTGCTGGCTTATCTAGGATAGTCTTATTTTTCCTCTCAAATTTAACCTGCTCATGACCTAAGAAAATGCAGTTTGATAATTCCATCTTCCTGTGGTCTCTGTGTCAAATGTGCCAACATGCTTCAGTCTGTACATCAGCTTTGTGTGCCTCTGGAGCTGTCTGATGGTCAGATGTGCTGTTGTGCTACACAGCCTACAAATCTCTTCTATGCAGATAGAACCATGTGTGAGGACAGGAGGACACTGCTCATGTCCGTGCTGTGAGCATCTGAGGATCTTTCATATTGCACCTTTAGTATCCCATCAGCTCCATCAAGCTTTACAGTCACTAAATCATCTGGTATCACTAAAACCCCTGACTGCTACAGCACTTTGCAGGGAAAACTGCCCAATTCGTGCCAATATGCACCAGTGTCCTTTGTAAAGAAAGGGCAAGCTTGTTGAATGTCTTCATGAAGAGGTTTAGTGACGTCCTGCAACAGGGATCCTTTGGCTGATGTGCCCCATGAGCTCTGGTTAGCTTTTCCCTCTACAGCTCTGATACTTTGTCCCTTGAAAAGACACTAAACATTTATCCTGGACTCATGAGACTGCAGTAGTACCAGGGACTGCAGTGCCAGCTGTCTGGAGGTGATAGGGAAAGAACTTTCTTGGGAGAAAGTGATAACTGTTTGGTGATGAGGTGGAGAAGGACATGACTGTGTGTGTTAAAAGCTTTTCAGTGTCAGGATTCAGTGGACAAGCTGTATTATCAAGTTACAATTTACCACCAGCAAAGGAAGAAATCTCTTTCTATTCTGCAGATGAAAAGAGTTGCTTTCCTTTTCAAAGCAGGACATGGGAAAGATCCCTCACAGCACTGACCATAGCAAGCAGCAGTCCCTGATATTGCTACCATAGAGCTATTCAGAAGCCACCAAAGCTTGAAAAGAGCTGTTCTATATCCTGGTCCACCTTGCAATACTCTGAAACCAGGCACTCACCCCAGCTGTGCTGCCAAGGCCCACATGCAAAGAAAAACCTCTGTAGAAGATCAGCAATGCTGAGAGAACCTGCTTTATTTCTGGTACTCTAGAGAATCACCCCATGCAGGCGGTATTTTGTCCTAACCAACACAGGGCCTCTCAAATAAAGACATATAACACATTTGCTCTCAGGGCAGCCTCCATAACAAGATCAAGGTCTGTCTATCCTTGTGTTAAGGCATCTGGAGGAAAAATACAAAAGAGAAGGGGAAATCAGTCCCACTAGACATTCCTAAAGGCTTTTTCTGGCCCCTGCCTTAACCAAGCACACATTTTAGCCATGCTCAACATCCTCACCCAGCTCAGTGTTGAGCCAAACAGAAGCTGACTTTGGAGATGGTCTAAATACATCTGTGTCTTTATGCATTTGGCTGTGCAGAGTATGGTGAAAAAAATCTTTCAGTCATCTCCAGCACCTTTGAACTCAGCTGATTTGAAACAGGTAGATCAGAGCTCTGAGTCACAGTGGGTGATGCCAGGCAAGGCTTCCCTTGATGGGATCAAGGATCAGATGGGCCATTTGGGACTACCCAGTCCAGCCTTCAGCTATGGTTTTGACCTATGTTTGCCAAGAGGACCAAGCCTGGGAGGGGTATAGTTCTCTGTTATGCTAGCAGTTTCTTGTAACATGGAAGCATTATAAACTGGGGACATTGCTAGGGAGGGGCAGAAAAGCCTAGTTGGGAGATAGGGGGAAGCATAAAGACAGGAAGAACAAAAGCAGTCAGGAGCATCAGAAATGCTTTCAGTGTTAACACTCATTCCAGTACTGCTCAGCTTTCTCCTTGTGTGTACTCATGTGTCCGTTCATGTTCTACTTTCTACTGCTGCTCATGCAACATTAGTAGTAGACTGATCCTGGATAGCCTTAAAAGCAAGGAGAGATTATAGAGACTGGAATACCTAAAGGAGAGCTGGTTAAATGCCCCTGATCAAGACTTCTGCTCTTTTGTGCTTCATTAACATTCTTCTTGGAATAGATATGCAGACCTAGATTGTCTTATTTATTTCTTTCATTGTAAGCTCTGAAACAGGCATTTACAGCTTTCTAAGTATTTCCCCTTCTATTAGAATCTCTGCAGTTCCTAGTAATGGCTAGCAAATTTACAACTTAGGCAGCTTTTCTCAGGAATAAATAGATGAAGGGATAAGAAGCAAGGCCATAACCTTCATAATATAGAGGAGTTGCACTTTTTCTTAAGAATAGTGCAGTTACTGTTATTTCTCACTGCCTTTCACAGCTTACCAGTAGAGTCTATGGGGTGTGTGGGTAAAAGTAACACAGCCTAGTAACATTACAGCACATACATTAAATCTGTGCTGAAACATATAAAGAGAGTTCTAGCCTGTGCGTATGTGAAATTACCGAGTTTGCAGATTATTAGCATGAATATAAAAAGCCTCTAGCACAGCATACGGTAAACACATTAGGGTTATATTCCAGAAAGCATCATTTTCAGGAGCTATAGGTCTTGCTGACATATGTGGTGGAAAGGCTAGCTCTGCCAATTGTCTGCTTC